TAGTGTTGTTGTACATTTTGTTTTTATCCCTTTTTAACCTCTAACCCTGCCTGGCTCATAAAAAAAAAAAAAAAAAAAAAATTAAGTGCTCAAGCAAGCTGCAAGCATATTAAAAATAATCATGAAAATTAATTGGTAATGAAAACGTTTTATCTCCTTCAAAAAACTTAAAAGCTTTCAAAAAAAAAAAAAAAAAAAAAAAAAAACAAGTGGTACCTGAGCAGAACTACAAAAATAAAATTTTTGAAAAAAAGCATTATGTCAGGGCTTTTTTTTTTTTTTTTAATTTTTACCTAATTTTTGCAATTATTGAAAATTTTGCTATAATCAGAAAGTTTTAACAATTGTTATTATTTTGAGAATCGTTCAAAAAAATCATCAAGAAACCAAGTAGAAAATTATAAAAAAAAATTACAACTTCTTTCGAACAAGAAGGAAATAATAAAAATAAGTTATAACACCTGAAAAAGTTGACAAGGAAAACAAATTATCAAACACATTTTTAGTTGCCATAAAATAAAAGCATTTTAAAATGTCATCTTGTCTCATTTACACTTGATAACAAAATTATCACAAGTGTATTTTAGTTTTACACAAAAACCAAATGAAGTTCATGAGTTGATGTTCCTCTAACGTACGATCTTTTTCTTTTTTTTAAAAAAAAAAAAAAAAAAAAAAATAGTAATAGAAATAATAAAAATAGATAAATGTTAACGACTTTTGACAAAATCAAACAAAAGGCAAGATTACAATTTTTTTTCTTCAAACCCTTTCTTTGATTTTTTTTTTAATAGTTGGTTTTAGAGGGTGTGTAAGTAAAGCAAAAAATATTTTGCTGAAAAATCTTGTAAAAATTGATCACAAGTGACAAAAAGTGATTTTTTTTTTTTAATATAAATAGGTTCAACAAATAACAGAAAGAAACAATAAAAATAATAAAAACAACATGAGAGGCGGGGAATGCACAGTTCGATACAATGAATTTATTTTCCAATGTTCAATTCTGCAACAAAGCAACATGTTTTTTGACCTCGATTTTTTTTGTTTTTTGTTTTAAAAGTTAAAAAAAAAAAAAGCTCACAAAAAAGGACCGATTCACTAAGTGTATTGTAGAAACACAAAATAAGGTGTTGAAAATTGCAACAAACAACATATACAAGAGAGAGGAGTGATTTTTTTTATTATCGCATACTAACAAAAAAACACTGCAATAAAAAAAAAAAAAAAAAAAAAAAATAAAAAACTAGCAATTCAATAAGAAATCGGGAGATGCGGGGATGGTGCTAAAAAGAGGAATTTTGTTTAAAATGCTAAAAAGCTGGATTCAAAACGTTTTGCAAAGTAAAATGTAATGTTTCAGATAAAAATTTGATGTTAAAGATAAAATTATTGCTATTGAACAAATAGCCACCATCTTCTCTGGTTCTTGAAGAAGCAGCAATGTTGCAAACAATAATTATAAAAAAAAATCGAAAAACCATTTCGTAAGGCGAGACAGAGTGAAAAGAAAAAACACATTAAGTCGGTGTGACCAATATTTTTCTGTTTTAAAATTATTTTGTTTGTATACATCAGAAAAGACCTCAGAAATAAATGAAATAAGTTTGTTGTTGGTTTCTCTTCCTCCACGTTGTGTGCAAATGTTTATTTTGCAACAGTGTTGGTTACAAGAAAATTAATTTGTTGGAGTATCATTTAACAGAACAGTCATTTTTATTTACAAATTAAAAAAGGTGAAAGCAAGAAAATTTTCGAGCCTAGTATTATTTACTATAATCATTTATTTCAATCTTTAGAAAAAACGACAGATGCAATAATAACTAGTTTAGCATTTCAAGATGAAAACTACAGGGGAAAAAAGTGTACATGGTTGGTTATTAGTAGTAGTTGTATCTATTTCTGACAAGTAGGGGGTATCCTCTGACTCCACCTACACATTTACTACTTAAATACTGCTATCTGCTATAATACGCTATTTCATCTACTATTACTAGTAGAGTAGTAGTAATCATTGCTGTAGTGTAGAATCTTCCTTTCTTGCAAATTATTTTATCAGCCTCCCACGGCCACATCCCAAAATATGCATGCCAACAAATAGTGTTGGCTGGGGACAAGTCAAAAATCATAAAAATATCACCACACCATGCAAAATCTTCCCGTCCCACCCTCATATCTGACCCAAGAAGAGCAGAAAAAGAAAAAAGTTGTTTTATTTTATTTTATTTTTTTTTTGCAATGCACCAGTCACACACTACTGAGTATATAGACTAGAGAGGCTACTGATTTTTATTCAACTTCATGATAAAAGTACATTTATTTTTGTGTTTCAAGGTTTTATTTTCGTTGGTTATTGATATTTTTTGCAAATGGAATAATTTCTGTGTGCCTGTGTGTCTGTTAGAAGAAGGCAAAGGAGGAGTTATATTTTGGTAGAGAAAAAAAAAAGCGACGATAAAAGAAGAAGGGTTTATACTTTATCATCGCCTGTAGCGTAGAATTGCATTATTATTATTATTATTATTACACACCGCCGAACACAGCCCTGTGCTGGATTCTGCAAGGAATGTGCGGAATCTGCGGTGGAATAACAAACTGATGATGATGAAGAAGGCGGCATGGTAAGTTCTAGTACACAGCCAGGTGAGTGAGTGTGGGTTAAGAAGAAGAAGAGATTTAAAAGGAAAAATGAGATCCGGGGGTGGGGACATGAAGAAAATAATCAACAAACAAAGCAGAATATGAATGAAGCATGCAAAGAAAATAATGTCAAACTCAAAATGATAAGAATAGAAATCAAAATTTGAAAATAATTAAATTACAAATGATTAAATGTTAATCATCAATGAACGGCTAATCAATAAAATAATTAATCAAAAATACGCTTCTTCACTAATATTTTTTTTGTGATATGATTGGCCATTTATTTATATTTATTTTGACGAAAATGTACTAATGACTGGGTCGATTAATCCTTGCTTTTTGAATCATTTGTTACTAAAGTTAAAAAAAATAATTATTTTCCATGCTTCCTTAGGGTTTTTTTTTTTTTACTGTCACTGTTATGGGTGAAAAAGAAAAGGTTTCTGGTTTTATCGATTAAAAGGTCAATTTTACAGTTTTATTTCTGAGAAAACCTAAACAGACTCATGTTCTATTTGTTGTGCAACAATGAAAAATAAAACACGATAAAACAAAAAGAAAATATTTTGTTTTTAGTAAATAAAAGAAAAGCAAAACTAAAAAAAAAAAAAAAAAAAAAAAGAATAAAAAGATTATTTTTTTCTTTCACTAAAAGAAAAAAGAAATTTTGTTCTTTTTATTTTTTAAAATTGAAAAAGTTTGAATAAATAAAAAGTGTGACTGTAGTGAGGTGATATATATTAACCCCCCCCCGGCCCCAAAATCAATGACCAGCAATTTAACCCCCCAAATCAAGAATAGTCGCGAGATCAATACAGACAATAAGCATAAAGCCTTTATTCTTTGGGTTGTTATGTTTATGGACAAACAATCAGGATAGACAGAAAAAGAAAAAAAGAGGGGGGTGAAAAGAAAAGGGAAGAGTTGTTAATTCAATTTTTCGTCTTACCTGGATTTTTTTTTTTAATATTTCTTTCATGAAATAAAAAAAAAATAGTCTCCCCAATTTTTAATTTTTGGGAATGTCGTGTAGTAATAAAAACAATACTACTACTAATAGTAACACAAACACTGTGTAAAGTACAATTAAAGAAAACTAGTTAAATAAACGAAACCCAAATGTAGTAAAAACTTACTTAATTTATGAACTAAAAAGCCTTAACTTGCCCACTTTTTTTAAATTTTTTTTTTTTTTTTTTTACTAATCCCAACAAAAAAAATAAAAACTCATTTGGAAAAAAAAAAAGAACTTGGAATAGATTTTTAAAAAATTGTTGTAAATGGAGAATGAAAATTGAAAAGGATTTAAATTAAAAACCTCAAAATAAGCCGGGGGGGACATTTTTTTTTTTTTTAAACCAGAAATCAAGGGTGTGACTTTTTTTTACCTTCTTGTATTCAGTACGGAATACGATTAACTGGTCACGTGATTAATAAGCACGTCGATTTTCACCGTGAGATATAATAAAAAATAATATAAATAATTTAGTTTTAGTTCTTCTTTCATTGTTTTTTTTTTAATACAATGGAAACATTTTGTTTAATTTTTCCAAAATACATTTTTTTTAAATATTCATGTAATAATTCACAATGAAGTGCGATTTAAGAAGAGGCATAAAAAATGTTTTTTTTTCAATGGGTTTTTACTTAGAAAATAAATTCCACGAAAAATTGTCCGAAAGTGACCTAAAGAAAATAATTTCAACAGTACAACTTACGATAAGGTGATGAAGTAGACTAAACTACTAGTCTAAACACGACGTTTCTCTAAAAATAATCTTAATCTTTATTATAAAGATTTTAATTTTTTTAAATGATGTTAAGAAATAACGTTAATTTATTTTTTTAAATTTTTAATATGCTACTGTTAAAAATGTGCTGTTAAAAGTTTTGAATAAGACATTTTTATTTAATTAAAATGAAAAAAAAAAAGTCCTTTTTTTTTCTCGATATAAGAAAGGAACCTTTCAAAACTAAACGAAATTTACGAACTTAAGTTATTTTTAAGCATCAGGCATGTCTGATTTACAATAGGGAAATGACTTTTTACTTTTCAGTTTAAAAACAAGAGAGAAAAATTAATGGAAAAGTAATACGCAATGACTTTTTAAAATTAACTTATTGTTCATTTCTACTATAAATGCGTGTGTAACTAAAAACAAATCGTCCCTGGGAAAAAAAAAGAAAAATCAAGTCTTGCCAATTTTTCTTCATCTTGTTGAATAATAATCACATGCCAACTCATGCGGACATCGGAATCCCCATTCAACAACATCGATCGTTTAAAAAAAAAAAATACATGCAGGAAACATTCTCCGAAAAATGTAGGGAAATTGAATAGAAATTAGTGAACTACTTACCAATAGAAATAAAATTAAGTGGTTTCAATCGGCGACAGGTGACCAAGTCAAGGAAAAAAAGCGCACTTCAAAATAATAACATCACAACAACAAAGTTAGTCTTCTTATCGTCTGCCATGTTGCTGTGTCTACATCCGGGTTGTTGCGTGAACCGTCTGCTACAAAAACCCGGATGTACATGACAGCAGCAGCAGCAGCCAATGCCAGGTGCCCAGGGCTGGTTGGAGAAAAGGTGCGTCGAAAGATAGGCACACCATAGAGACAAATATAGAATTAAAAAGAAAGAAAACGAAACAGACAGTTGCAGAAGTTAAGAAGGAAAGGAAACAAAAAGAGAGAGAGAGAGAGAATAAAAAGGAAGACAGAGAAATTAAATTTTTCATGGCGCTTTTCTTTATTTTTATTTTTATTTTTTTAAAAAAAAGTTTTAACTTAATTGAAGCTTTAAAATTTTTCACTTAATTCCCCCCATTTCTTCTTTTTTTACGGTATTTAATATTGTTCCAAGTTAAAAGTCCGTCAACCGAAAAAACAAAAGTAAAATTAAATTCCTTCAGTGTATTTATTCTTTTGCTGCAATCGTAACGATTTCCATCTTAATTTACGTCACTTTCTTCTTTTTCTTCTTCTTAATTTTCTAATTATTTTTCTTCAATTTAAAGTGGGATCGAAAATGAGTTGAATTTCAATTTTTAATTTAACTCTTCATTACATTTTCATTCACACTTTCTTTCGTTACCCTCATTCAAGCTCTGCACTTTTTCTTTCTTTGTAATCTTTCTTTCTTACTTTCTTTCTTTGTGACCTTTTCTTCCTTCGTAACCTTTCTTTGTAAACTTTTCTTTCTTTTCTTTCTTTGCAACATGCACATGCCCACTCCCTCTTTCTCTTTTTCAATTTCATCTATTTTCTTTTCTCTTTATTTTCGTTTCTTTCTTTTTGTGTTCCGTACACTAAAAAAGTAATTATTAATAATTATTATTCTTTTATTTGTTAACAATTAACACCAGACAATAAATCAGTTTGTTTAAAACGTTCATTTTTACCCTTTTTCTCTTATATTTACAAATAATGAAAAGATTTCATTTTTTAGCTTTCTTTGAACTTCTCTGACTGATTTGACGTTAGAAATGGAATATTGAAATATCTGGAAGATTTTTTTCTCTTTCGAAAGCAGAGAAAAATAACCGTAATGGGAAATGTGGCGAGAAAAGCCCTAAAAACAGTCTGTTGATAAATAACAAACACTCGACTCAACCGAAAAAAATCCGGAAAACCAAAAGAAAAGAAAAGACAGAGTGAAAGACTTAAATTAAAGAAGCAGTTTATTATTTATTACAAAAAAACAATGTGTTGGGGAGGAGAGAAAATAATATGCTTTTTTGATGACAATGGATTATTGTTTTAATCATTATTCACCGCATCTGACTGTTGAAGATGGAATTTAGTAGTACATCAGATTGGCATAGCAGTCACGATGCATCATTGAACGGGACACTGGCTTGTTTGGCTTAGTGGTAGCGCCAAGGACTCGTGGTATCGGACGACGGAGTTGATTGTCACTTCCAGATTGGGTTAATGAAGATCCTTATTTCAAACAAACCGATCACATCTTTTTTGTGATCGGTTTGAAATAACGCTTGTAGTGAAGCAACTCGCCATTGAACAACGGTTACTAAGCTAATCTAGCAGTTTAGCATTGTAAATGCGAAACTTGATGGATGCTTCACAACACTACGACAGCACAGTCGTGAGTACACTATAGTACTGTGATGCCAGACTAATAATTTTAGCACCTTCTTATTGCCTAAATAGTGAAAGCAGTAAATCACTTTTTAAGTACTATTCTTTACCCAATATAAAACACAAGAGCCACTCAAGGTAGATGGCCACTAAATAGTGAATAAGGTTGCTGTATGGACGTAAAATGCAGATTATGAGGATATGTAGGATAGATAACGGTTGTCCTTGGACTTGAAAGGGTTAAAATCGTAGTAATATGGAAAGCATCCTATCGGGTGTCTGTTTCACAAAGTAACCTTTCTTGAGATTGATTGGTTTATTTTTTACGGTCCATCAACCTTTTGCAGGTTATTTAAAGCCAGAAAATATTTTTAGATTGTAATAATTTTTTGGAAATAATAATGATTTACTGACACAAATCTTACTAATTAACTCATAGCTGGGGTAGAGAAGAGGTAGGTTCATGCCTTTCCCAAGAGTATTTGCGTGTAAGTGAATATAAAGAACACGACTGTAATTCGAACTTGGCACTCCGATTTCCAATTCAGTGCCTTTATCCATTACATCACCCGGACATCCAAGTTTACAGCATCTGGTATTCCCAAGCGGTCACCCATCTAGGTACTGACCAGGCTCGATATTGCTGGTCTTGAGAAGGAGCTGTCTGAGTGGAACTTACTCCCTACTAATGGAATACAAAGGGAATATGGATGTTTCTATTCTGGGTAAGTGGTATGGCGGCTCCTAGCTGCAAAGGTCTGAACTGGTGGAATTAAGGAATGAACTGAAACATAGGATTTTGCCCCCCAAACTGGTTAATGATGCTCGTTATTAAGCTTTCTCAAGTAAAGGATCATTTTCATTTCTGTTATTTTTTTTTCTAATGATTAATCAGAATTTTAAAATGTTGTACCATTCAAACGGTATACGGAAATATAGAATTATAATTAAGTGAATTGAAAAATATTTTTTTCCAAACAGATTTGGAGTGAGTCGTTAAATACCCAATGAAGAAAGAATGCTTAATTTGAGGATTTGTAAAATGCTACCTAATCACCATGTTGTTCATGTCGTAAAAAAGCCCAGCGTTCGTTTAAGATTAATTTCCTTTTATTCGATAGAAAAAAAGAAATCAAATTTGTCTAAACTTTGTTTGAAGTTCCTAGATGAAGTATAGGAAATTTATAAAGTCCGTATGAAATTTTAAATACTTCTATTTTTTTTTTCATCAATTCACCCCAAACAAGGCCATAATGTCACTAAGACGCAAGAAGGTACTAGAAGTGAAATAGAAGGAACCGAAAACTTAATCCGAAACTTAAACAGGAAACAAGGAATAAAACTCTATTCCTCTTCAAAAAACCAGGAAGGATTGTGAACCGCATGATAGGCGAACTTATTTACTACTACTACTACTACTACTACTACTACTACTACTATTATTATTATTATTATTATTTGTGCATGTTATGTTTCTTGATTTGTATCCTGTAGAGCCGGGTTTAAAGTATGGTCCTATGGCCTTATAGGAAAATTGTTATTTAATTGATGGCACTTTTCTTAGTATATGGGATGTTCCTAGTAGGGCGATCTTCTGAGCAACTTGTATATTGATGTTACCTGGGACACTGTTAGTAAAATTGTCCATTCCTTTTCTCACGAGGTCCAGAGCTCCGATTACTATTGGTACAGTCTCAGTCTTCATTCCCTACATCCTGTTAATCTTGATCTCCAGGTCCTTGTATTTAGACAATTTCTCGATAATTTTCATAGACGTATTTCTCTCAGATGGGCACTGCTATGTCAATAAGCATACACTTTTTTGAATTTCTTGTCTTTTATTACAATATTAGGTCTGTTGGCTTTTATTTCCCTGTCAGTTTAAATTGGCATGTCCCAGAGGATAGTTACATTGTTGTTGTTGTTGTTTTATTTCCTTTGGTTTCTGGTGTATACTTATTTCTTTCCGGGTCCCGACTAGAGACCTAAGGTCAGAAATAGCATCATGACATTTTCCACTGAGCAGTTTTGAAAAAAAAAATCGCACATATTTTACATAGATAAAGCCCTTCGTAAGATGTGAGGTGTACTTGTGAGTACGATTTTTTGTATTTCTTTAAGGCATGGGCTTCCAGGAATCCCTTCAATGAGTCTACTGGAATTTCTTCCAATCACTCCGAGGGTTCCAACTATAACTGGAATTGTTAATGTCCTCATGTGCCACATTTTTCAGATTTCGATTTCAAGGTCCTTGTATTTTGATAAATTTTTGAAGATCTTTAAAGATACATTACAGTCTGCATGGACTGCCATGTTAATAAGGAGTCACATTTTGTCTTTGCGGTTTCTAATCACGATGTCAGGGCGACAATTTAAAAAAAAAAAATTTTAAGCGTTTCACCCCAAGCAAGGCGGGAAGCCACTAGCACGCAAGGGGTTACAGAGAGTTGGAGCTAGAGCAAATAGGAGTGATAGAGGAAAGGATGAAGAGAAGGATAGGGGACAGATCAGGGAATCTGGAGACGTCGATTGATATTACATTTGAATAGTTGGAGAATATAGCTATCAGGGAAACAGGAAGTGAGTTCCACGGGCGAGAGGTGCGAGACATGAAGCTATTGGAGTAGAAGAGACGGCTACATTTAACAGTTTCGACAGTGAAAGGGTGTGAGCGTGATGCCAGCCTAGTAGAACGCTTAAATTCATGAAGTCTGGGAACCGGCGAAAGCAGCTCCTCGGAGCAGTTACCGTGAAAGTATTTGTAAAAAAGACAGAGGGAGGCGACGAGATGCCAGATCAGTGACAATTACGTTGCATATCCATCTCTGGATCTTATCAAGAAACTTGAGACAAACATAGGAGAGACCGGACCATATATGGCAGCAATGCTCCATGCAAGGGCGAATGGTTGATTTGTAGATTTGAAGGATCGACTCCGGCGAGAAAAATTTCCTGGCGCGGCACAGGGAGCCGACTTTCCTTGTGGTGGACGAAGCTATTGACTCAATGTATTTGTTCCATCTCAGGTCAGCAGTCAATGTGAGGCCGAGTAGTCGCAAAGAGGAGATATCGAGAAGTTGAGCGTCAGACATTCTAATGGGGGGCAGGGATGTTGTTGCAATAATTTTAATTTAATAATAATTTAAGTTATTCTGGAGCTATACATAACGTAAAAAATATTTATAAACTTGACGTGTCTAGTTTTTAGATATAAAAAAAAGATTAATATTCTTTTATCTATTACGATTTGTTCCTCTATTGAGACTTCAAAACGACTGCTTTTTATCTTTTAGAATTGTTACTGAACCATGACTTCATTAAAAGAGAAAGTAAACTGCGTTCTTTGGCTGGTTGAGCTAAACTCTGTCACTGCCATCTAAAGAAGTTTGAAATTCTTTACAATAAAAAAGAAACACCACACAGGAATTCTATATCAAAGTGAATGGAAAAAGTTTCAAGAAACAGGTTCTACCAATGGTACGCCACGGTTTAGCAATCCAAGAAAGGAAAGAAA